AATTTTGTTTTAACTTGAAGAAGGTTTCTCATTTGCAAAACAATTTTTAAGATAAACCTATTTTTATAAATGATTTTCGTGCATAACCAATCGGTCAATATAAATCTTTTCAACCTTTTCATTGAAGATATTACAATCGTAAAGGTCACTTACATGAATTTTGTTTTGACCGTATTCGTACACCATACACGTCCAAAAGGGATTATAACCCTTAGTGCATTGAGCTTTAATGATAGAGGTCATGTCCCTAGACTCTTCGGTACCAAGAGTAATTGGGTACCAAAACATGTTTGATCTTTAAGAACAAATTTTTTAGTTTTCATGTTCTTAAAGATGATTTTTATTTAAGTTTTTAAGCAAAATTGAAAACAATTTTATGCTTGGTATTTGATTTTAAAAGTTATCATGATTCTCCTTCATAGATTTTCATGTTTTCATCCTTTATGAGTTGATATAATTTTTATCAGGATGATTTTTTTATGTTAAAATATCATTTTTTATTATACATTGTTTTCAATTTTTTAAGTTTGAACGATGTGTTTGTGCTTATGGGTTCATTATAAACCACTTATATGATGATATTTATGTGTTTGTGCTTATGGATCATCTATTTGTGCTTTATAATGAATTCCGTATGTGGTTTGATCAAATTTCCATAGAAGGTTCTCTTTGTTGATCAACCATACCCCCCCCCCCCCTCCCCGAGAGGTTTACCGGATGCTAAAATTTTTATTTGGGTTGAAACTTGTTTTCAAGAGCTTGTTATGTTCACCTCTCTTGCTTTTGTCAAAAATGAGTATGTTGACCTTTTATGCATTTATCCAAAGCATACAAATCTTTGATCTTTATGGATAAAACTTTTAAATGTTTTGACAAATTTTCTTTGTGATCATGTATATAGGAAAGATGTGTCCATTATTTACATTGATACAAAATATCCTTTTTAGTGGACATCTTTGCCTAACCCCTTTGCTTAGAGATTTTTTTTTTCTTTTCTGTGATTTGAGCACGTTTGTCATTCGAATCATGTATTTGCTCAATCATCTTATCTTTTATTAAAATAATGTTTTATGTTTTTCCATGAACTTCATTTAAACAATATTTTATATTTGGTATCATTTATTGGCATTCATGGATTCATGAATTTTCCTTCGTGAACAAAATTTTTGTCTTTCATGAGTTTTCATATATGAAACTATATATCACTTTGTTTTTATGTATTGAGACATCATTCTCATAATAATGTATTTATATATGTTCTCAATCTATCATAATTTATGGTTTGACAACTTATGAATTTTGTTTTGGATTTATTGACAAATCATTCTTGATTTTTAAGTTTTAAATCTTTGATTTTTATTTTTGGGATTTTTTTTAAATTTTTTTTGTTTTTGATATATATCCTATGGATATATCTATATTTTAGACTCTTGTGACTCTTTTCTTAATAACACATATATGTGGTCACTTGGTCTTCTTTAATGTGAGTTGTGTTTAGGATACTCTATATCCATGCTTACTCACATTTATTTGTCATGCTCATCATTGCATATTTTCTATATAGCTTTTTGATAGGGGGAGCCTTTCCCATATCCTTCTATTTTTGTTTTTACTCACTTGTGCTTTTTGCTAGGGGGAGCTTTAGCTCTCTTCTTAATCATATTGTTTATCCCCTTTTTAATGTTGTCAAAAGAGGAAAAAATGTGAGTATTTATGTTTTTATATTTGTGGTTTTATGCTTATTATGCTTATGAACTTTTATGTGTATTTTGGTAAATCGTTTGTTGTCATCAAAAAGGGGGAGATTGTTGGCCTTCTTGTTTTGATGATGATTTAAGAAATAATTTACGACTAATATTGTTTTTAGTATTTTGTTTTGTATTGTTTAGTATACACAGGAAAACAAGCTACATGGATATTAAAACCTATGCAAATCAAGTCAACCAATCAAGTTCAAGCTTCATATGATTCATTCTTGGTATACTTAGTATAGGATTATATAATGTGTGCAAATTCTACAAGCTCAAATATACACACACATCTTATTTGTGAATTTTCTCAAATATAAGTGTTTTTATGCAAAATATATTTTAATATACTTTGGACCATACAAACATTATTAATATCTTTTATTAAGTCCATGAAAATATTTCACAAGTTTGCAAAACTTTATTTGAGCTAAATGTCAAAATTAACATGTTTATAACACATGCATTTTAGTGTTTTTGAATATTTTTGAGATTTCACAAATGGCAAGAGCAAATTGAAAAATTCCTTTTACAACATGTTCATATTTTTAGTTATAAACTTTTTTCAAAGTTTTATATTTTTTAGAATTTATTTGCTATTTTTAAAAGAGGTTTGAATTTTGTTTCTACTATTCAATTAAGGCTGAAAACATGTTATCGGTCGACTGATAGTTTTTTCAGTCGACTGATGAAACTGCCCTACAATCATGAATAATTTTTGTTTCTTATTCGGTCGACTGACAAGATTCATCAGTCGACTGATAAGCTGTTAGCTCCCTATAACGGTCAGCTCGTCAGTCGACTGATTCAGCTTATCAGTCGACCAACGCTGTAACGACTAATTTTCTAGTTTTCGTTATTTTGTCTTTTTGCTTGGTTTTTCTTGGTTTTGGGGCTTTGTTTCTTCATCCTATATATACCTCATACCATTTTACTTCTGAACTAGTGAAGAAAGGTTTTAAAAACAAGTTTTAAAGGTTTTAAAGTTTGTTTCTTCTCAAGTTTGAGTTTGGTGTTTGTTTACAAAAGAGGAAGCTTGCATCGTCAATTGAGGAATTCATCCTCAATCTTCTTCATCCTCTTATTGTGTTTATAGAGAATTTTTTCTAACTTTTTTCTCTAATAATTTTATTACTGATTTTTATATTCTTATTATTACTAGTTTGCTACTTGAGTTAGATTTCATTTGAACTCATGTTATCACACACATCCCTATTTGAGCTTTTAGTATTTCATACATTATATATTGGGTTGTTAGATTATGATATTGTGAGAGTGAGCCTAAATTATGTTCTCATCTATTATAGAGAACAAATCTTGTAATTAAGCCTTATTGTGAGAGTTACACTCTGTAATACATATTTACACCGAGAGGAGTGTGTGGTGAGGACGTAGTCGATACCAAGAGGAGTGGCATCAATAGTAAAGCCTAGTAAGAGGTAGTAAAGCCAAGCATTTGAGGGAGATGATACGTGAGGACCAATACTTAAGATTGTAGTTTGTGTATGTACATTGTGAGTGTCATGTAGAGTTTTAGGTGAACTAGAAAACTGAGTGTGTAGAGAATTTCTGGCTTCCAAACCGGGTGTGTCGTGATAGTGGATTCTCCTCAGGAGTGGGGAGCGGAGACGTAGGTCGGAACCGAACTCCGTAATCATATTATTGTGTTTGATTTGTTATTTGTGTCCTCTATTTGTTTATATTGTTTCTTGTTTATTTTGCCCTTTGCATATATATCATTGCTTTAATTCAATCGAGTATCTATCTTACTAGGATATATTTATTAATAACTTTTAATCGGTATTAATATCTAATAAGATTAGCATAAACCCTATTCACCCCCCTCTATGGTGTTTTTCAGTGTGCGAATTTGGAGCAACGGCTCTTTGGCTTCCAACTCCTATATATACAGAGGTTCTCCTCCTCGGAAGATACGGAACACAACAAGGCTTCCTCTCTTCTCCTCTTTTTCTCTCTTAAAAATTTTGATTACTATTAATTTCTTTTTGGGCAACCATCTTCGTCTGAGCAGAAGCTCTGCTACTCTCGCCCGAGTACGGAGGCCAGCCAAACCGGGTGTTTTTACCGCTAAGGGAGAGAAGATCGACTGCGCTAGGGCGATAGGCGGATCCTCAATCTTCTAGGACACTGAAATCACGACTGTTCACATTCAGGCCTGATTTTCTAACTTTTATTTCGGATTATATACTAATATTCTCTCTTTTGATAGCAAAACTAATCTCAAATTTTAACATAAATTAACTTTTTAATATAGCGTCTGAAGGAAAAAGATTGTTTAGGTCTGTTTAGATGGAATTTTAAGATGATTATAAACTCATAGAGGAATATATCTTGAACGGATCTTTTTCAACAAAAATCAACTTTTCAATCAAAATTATGCGAAGCAATTTTTTAGCTTTTCTCTGTGGGTTTTTGTTTAGGCGAGATATTGTTTAGGCTGGATGGTAAGCAGCTAAAAAGTTACTACGTGATTGCCCTAGCGGCGGGCACTTTAATAGTATAATATAGAAGATAGGGCTGGGAGTAGTATATTAGGTGGAGCAAACTGGGGTCACTTGAGCCCATTTTTCTCTGCTTGGATCCGCGTATGGGGATGTGATCATGTGATGGAGGCTTTATGTGTAGCTGAATATATAAATAGATAATAAGATTAGTATCCATATTTCACTTAATAATATTATTGGAATATAAACATATAACATTTAATTTTTTATTATACATTGGAGTTTTCTTTGATGTAGTGACAGTCTCTTGACATATGATATTAGAGCAGCTGCCACGTTAGAATCTTGACAACCATAAATTTTTACACAAATTAAAAAAAGATACTGTTATATTGCTCTAGATTTTTTCTCTAAAAAGATTCTTAATAGATAAAAACATGTTAGAATATAAAAATAATAATCCTCAATCCTCGCCGCATTTTTAATAGGGATCGTTTGAGGTATATAAAAATATCATTCCCAAGCATAGTGGTTACAGGGTAGAGAGCATCCTACATCGGCAGGATGACTAGATACATAGAAATAGAAACGCGGATGTTAATAACAGTATCAGCTGACTAGTTCAACTCTGCGCTGCCGGGACCGCTCACCTTCCTCGTTCCTAGTCCACCTGTCCTCCTCTCGTCTGACGTCATCATCCACCTGTATATTCCTAGAAGGGCTATTTGGATATCAGCTCCGCAGTCTTCAATAATGAAACATTAGCTCCTCCAATCCTTGAAAGTCTAAGGGGTGTGCCATTTGCGCCCTCAATAATCAAGATCCTCCTAGATAATGTAATTTGAACAAGAAAGGTTTTGGGCAATTGCGACTGGAGGATATTTTGGGACAGATTGAGAGGGTTTTTGGAAGCTTTTTTTTGTTTGTTTGTGTAGGTTAAGCTTTTTATGGATTTGGATTCTCTTTTCTATCAAAAAATATAGTGGAGAGATCACTACATTTGTTTGTGTAGATTAAGCCCTTCACTCAGGGCCAAGGAGGCCCACGATGGCCCATCGGACTTCAAGTCCTACCTGCAAGACTCGGACTTCGCCAACTACGCCGCGTCCGACACCAGCTTCTCCTCCTTCAAGAACTAATCCGACGGTGGCAACCTCCCCGTCGACACCTTCCGCCGCTACAGCCGTGACTCCGTCGGCGACGAGGACTCCTTCGCCTTCTACTCCGTCGGCAAGAATGTCGTCACCACCATCTTCACCTCCTACTCCACACTTTCTATTTCTATACTCAGTGAGAATTTCCTCTTGATATTTTTTTGGTTAATTTTGTGGGCTTGATGAATATTTTTTGAAGTTATTGTGTAATTTTTAATGGTTGTAGCTTTTCAATTTGGTGCAATTTTTGATGGGTTGTGAAAGATTATTGGACATTAGTTGTGAAAGATTATTGGATATTAACAATCTTGCATTTTTGATGAACTGCAAAAAAATATACGGAATAGGTGGCAACCTCCCCGTCGACACCTTCCGCCGCTACAGCCGTGACTCCGTCGGCGACGAGGACTCCTTCGCCTTCTACTCCGTCGGCAAGAATGTCGTCACCACCATCTTCACCTCCTACTCCACACTTTCTATTTCTATACTCAGTGAGAATTTCCTCTTGATATTTTTTTGGTTAATTTTGTGGGCTTGATGAATATTTTTTGAAGTTATTGTGTAATTTTTAATGGTTGTAGCTTTTCAATTTGGTGCAATTTTTGATGGGTTGTGAAAGATTATTGGACATTAGTTGTGAAAGATTATTGGATATTAACAATCTTGCATTTTTGATGAACTGCAAAAAAATATACGGAATAATCTGGAAAAATCAATATCAATTTGGGATAGGAGAAAATTAGGTTAAAGGTGTAATTTTGATGATCATGGCTTTTGAATTGGTGCAAGTTTGATGGATTGATGGGAAAGTATTTTTCTAGGGTTTGAATTTTGGTAAAATGCATTAAAATGTGATTTTCTTAATTACTTGGGTCTGATTATTTTGCTGGTTATGTTATTTGCAGGTAGACTTTTACATTAGTCATAATCTATTTTTTGGTATGTTTGTGCGATTTTCGTTTAAAAATGCATGCAAACAAATGATGCACTTATGGCTAATGTATGGAATTTATCGTTATATAGATTGCAACATTAATATCGGCTCATGGGTGCTGGACTTATTCAAGACAATATGTCATTGAGAACGAGGTCATTATTTTAGTTTGAGTTTTGCTACAGGGACCCGACCAATAGGGGGGGACAAGTGAGCTGTCCCCTTCCTATTAGATAATGAGTTGACCATCATTAATGATGGTCAACTCATTATCCAATAGGAGGGGGACACCTCACTTGTCCCCCCCTATTAGTCCCATATTTTGAGTCCTTGAGGAATTTTTCTTTTAGTTTACTCTCTTCGCTTATTTACATTTTTTGCAAATTAAGTGTTGGTCATGTGCAAATTTATTGCTAAGTGATTCAAGTGTAACGTTTTATATATTTATTTATTTGTTTTAGCAGATTAATTTTTTTTTATGCAGGTTGATGATACCTGCTTAGTTTAATCTATATAACAAATCTATGTTTACAATTCACCTTTTATCCACAGGTACTTGTTTATTCCAAATGTATTATCTGTACTATGTTGCACCCTTGGTATGGTTTCCTTGCTGAGAATGCTGGTTTTGTAGACATATGCAGAGAGCATGGTATCAACTTCATTGGACCTAATGTAAGGATTGGTTCATTGAAAGTTATTTTTTTTTTAATGAAATACTTAAATAAGTTGTAAGCCTGCTCGCCTTTTTATTTAAAAAAAAAAGTATTTAGCCTATAAAGCCTTATAATGAGATATCAGATTGAAAACTTTACTTTAGTAGTTTAAAATTTTCCTGTTATGTGCTAGCCTATTCTCAAACCTGATATATAACAGAATTTCATATTTAGAAGTTCAATTTTTTGTAGTTGTTACAAGTTTAGGAGGCTGTATATTGTAGGACATAGTCATTGCTTCGACTCCCTCACGGGTGATGGTAGTCATACATGAATTTCATATGCATTTTTTTTCTTGTCCTTGAATTTGGATTTTATTTGGAAAAGTACATCCAGAATCCGAGGCATATTGAGTTCCAGGTACGGTTATCAGATAGTGAGATAGCTACATATTTAAAATTGTAGTATACTTCTAAGTTTTGTTTATCTTGGTCTACTCACTTTTAACATGAACTAGTATGGTGCACGTGCGTTGCACGTGTATTTATTTTTATGACAGAATTAACATTATATTCTTGTTTATATATTAAGAAAGAAATACCCAAATAATCATTGAACAAATTTTAACCATGTTTTGTCCTTCAAGTATATTGTTCTCTTTGTATTCTGGTTGTTATTACTATACCAAGGATATTTTAATTAAATTATTGAAATATCACAAGATAAAATCTATATGGTTGAGATAACGTGTTTTAATATTGGCTTTAATACTTTATTAGGATAAAATAATGTTAAATTTTTAATATCAATGGCTAAAAAAATATTAAAATAACCTGAGAAAATTCGTTTTAATATTGAAGTAGATGTCAGACTCATCAACAAATACCATATTTCGCGTGCAACTACACCATATAGATTATTAATCTGGCAATCGATCTCTTTACTGAGCATGAAATCTTTTCCAACTTTTATTTGTTGTTATGCTCAAAACTAATATTTATGAAAGAAAGTTATTTCCTATGGTTGAAGCCTCTATTAGAAATATAATTAAATTTCTAGACGTGGACTTAATTTTTCAATGTCTACAATACAATTCAGCTTCTAGACGTGATGTTTTATTTATTAAATAATATATTAACTTTTTAGTAACATCTAATTAATTCAAGAAAATATTCTATCAAGATTTTTTGTTAGTTAAGAAAAGTTGTAAAGGTAAATGATATAACTATTTTTTTTTGGGATAGATTTGCAAGAACAATAATGTAGGATGTTATTTTAAAGTTACCTATAATTTGAGGGGTATATATCGAAAAACTCATTATAAAACTTTGAAATAAAAGAGATAAAACTTGCACACCAGTCTATCATTTCTCTACATTGTGGAATTTCAAGATTCACGAGCACAATAGTTGATGGCTATGTAGATAATTGAAACTCACCTAAAAATAAAACAAACGTGAAATTAAAAGATTTTCACATCATTTTAAAACCATACTTGTCGTTATTTCTTTTTACCTAAATAATGTCTACCAATTACGCCTAGCAATGCAACAACGGGTTTCGCATCTTTCAAATCCTCCAAAGATGATCCTTCAATCTCCGCTAAACTGCCCCATAGTGTCACCGAAAGTTTATCAAACCTAAAATAAATAAATAAAATTATTTGATTTTTTTACCAAAGTCCGTACATAATAATAAGCAATAATATTAAATTTTTACTCTTTATTCATAATTATGACATCCCTTCTTTTGGAAGTGGGGTTGCTAAATATTGGCTTCACAGTTATTACGAATCCAACAACAGCCTGCCCAATAAAGAGATTTTACGTGAAGTATTAATATGTAATATTATTTACATCATTAAATGGTTTTTCAAAAAATCTTACCAAACAACATTTTTGCCAATATCCAAAAGCCAGAAGCATCTTTAAATGAAAGGAATGATTGGCTTGATTTCTCCAACTTATTAAAGTTTTGTGTGTATCAACATATGTGATGAAGGGGACATTTTCCTGCAAATATAGTTGAAAAAAGATATCCTACTACCTTACAAACAAAAAACATACTTTTTACTAACCTCTTTGAATCACATAGTTTCCATTTCTCCTGTTTTAATTTTTTTGCTAGGATTTGGTAAGATTTTGTAAGATGGAAGTGGTCGTTATAAGATTAGATTTATATAGCATGCTGCACTTATAACCGAAATACTGTACTAATAATGAATTGTAATTTTTTTGGGTTATGAGTATGCATTTAGTTGGGTTTATAAATGGTATTATCATAAACGTTTTGATTGTTATAATCATGAAAACACGTCTATTCAAATACTGTGATTACCACAAAATAAAAACTGTTTATACTTAAAACTGCTTTAAGTATAGATGAATTGCACGTTTATGACTTGCTTTGTATTAATTGGTAATTATTAGAGGTGGAGTAATTACATTATCTAGTAACGGTTAATGTGAAAGAAATTAAACGGTCATCCAGATTAATGTATGCCTGATTCCATCATCATGCTTGACATGGACCTGGCCCAATATAGGAGCTTATCTGCATGTTTTTGTTCACGTACACACACTTTGTTAATAATAATATAATATCTCTAGTCAGAAAATTAGCAAAAGCAAAGTAAGTTTTGTTCAGTTCCTATAATAGTACATTGTTAATTCTATAAGTTAGAACAACAGTTTAAGTACGTAGAAAAATACCTATTTTGTTAAAAAATATGACCTAGAAATAAAATTCTAAGAAATTGTAGCAAATTTGTGTATATAAACATTATCTGTTCGTAAAAGTCCTCATTAATATTGAGTATGTATGAATGTGTCAATGTATGTAGACATTTAATAAGTGGTATGATAATTAGCATGCAAATTAAAATTATTTGGGAGTTATGAGTATGCATTTAATTGGGAGTTATTATGTATGTATGGTTGTGGTTTATGTATGGATGCATGTATTTTATGTATGTATGTATATGTTTGAAAGGGTATTTTTGGAGTTATGAGTATGCATTTAATTGGGGGTTATTATGTATGTATGGGTATGGTTTATGTATGGATGCATATATTTTATGTATGTATGTATATGCTTAAAAGGGCATTTTCGGAAGAAATGTTTTAACATGGCAACCCACTTTTATAATAGTATTAGATATGCTAGTTGAGAGTCTAATTTGCAGAATTTATGATCTTCTAAATTTATATTATTTAGTCAAAAGATATTCATTTACTGTGCTGTTTGACGAGAAACTTTAATTTTTGTAATCTACATGACTTTATATGTCTATTGATATAGGAGAAGGACATGTGTTTGGAGAATGTGTACTACTCTGAGATGAAGGATCAGTTTCTTTGATTCTGATTGGAAATAATATTGTTTTGTCTCTACTTCTCTTCACATCTGTAAATTTACCTTTCTCATGGCTTTCACGAACTCTTTCATTGTATAAATCATTGACGTGTGAAAATTAGTTATTGTCTATGTAAATAATTTATGTTTCGAACTCTTTCATTGTATAAATCATTGACGTGTGAAAATTAGTTATTGTCTATGTAAATAATTTATGTTTCGCTCTAGTATTTTGGTGAATGTATTATTTGAATATAATTGTATTTGATATTGAAATATAATTAAATTGTGTTGGATATGAATATGATTTGGTGTTGGATATTATACAACGTGCAACGTAGATTTTGCACCAAAAAAACACTGTAGCGAAAGCAACCTAGACGAAATTCCGTCTAGGTTGCTACTGTTGCTTCCGTCTAGGTTGCCAACCTAGACGGAATTCCGTCTAGTTTGCAACCTAGACGGTTTTTCATATTCCGTCTAGGTCGTTTTACGTCTAGTTTGATTAATTCTAGACGGAATTCAATCTAGTTTGACTCAAACTAGACAAAATCAACCTAGACGGATCAACCTAGACAGAACGCTGTCTAGATTGATCAACCTAGACGGGAGATTAAGCAACCTACATGAAAAATTCCGTCTAGGTTGCTCGTTTTTCTACTAGTGCAACAAGGAGCTCTTGATAAATTTGTTGTTAGTAATAAAGATAATGTTACATCAACTTTAATAGAAGAAGAAAGAATAGATAAATCTTTACTTGAGAATGAATTAGAAGAATATGTTGAGAATTTAAGACAAAATAATGATATTTACGACAATAATATTCAAGAAGAAAAAGCTAGTACTCCTAATTTTAATGAAGAATATAAAGAAAATTCATATGAGGGCCAAGAAAAAAACTTAGAGATGAATGAGATATCAAATTTAATTCTTATTAATATTTATGATCCTGGACAATGGAATGTATTGATAAAATTTTTATAGATCTAATAGTTGAAAAAGGTCCAATTAAATATGAAGAAGTAGATTTTCCTAAAGGTGAAAAGAATAGACACTTTTCTACATCGTATTACATACAAAAAATGTCAAATGGAGAAAAACATGAAAGAAAGTGGTTAGTTTACTCAAAAGATTTAGATAGAGTTTTTTTTTGTTGCAAATTATTTAGTTTAAAATCTAGTATAAGTCAGTCAGTTAACGAAAGTACTAGAGATTGGAAAAATCTTGAATATAAAATTAAAAATTATGAAACAAGTCATGAACATATCACTGTGTAAATTGGTGGATTTAGAAGTAAGATTATAAAAGAATAAGACAATAGATAAAAACATTCAAGAACAAATTAATAAAGAAAAAGAACACTGGAAAAAAGTTTTGCTAAAACTTATTGCTATAGTAAAACATCTATCAAAAAATAATCTTGCATTTCATGGAACAAAAGAAAAGATATATGAAAAAAATAATGGAAACTTTTTAAGCTTAGTTGAAACAATAGTGGAATTTGATCCCATAATGCAATAACATGTTAAATATATTCAAGAAGGTGAAATTCAAAATCATTATCTTAGTCATAAAATGCAAAATGAACTAATAGAGTTGCTAGCTTCTGAAATTAAAAAAATGATCATTAAAAAAAATAAAAGAAGCAAAATATTCCAGTTATCCTTGATTTTACTCCAGATGCAAGTCATTAAGAACAAATTACTCTTATTTTAAGATGTGTTGATACTTCAACAAGTCCAATAAATATTGAAGAATACTTTTAGAGTTTTTAAAAGTAGATAATACTTCGGGAAAAAGCCTTTTTGATGAACTTTTAAATATTTTGAAAGAATATGAACTTGATGTTAAAGAAATAAGAGGGCAATGTTATGATAATGGATCTAATATGAAAGAAAAACACAATGGAGTACAAAAGAGGCTATTAGATATAAATCCTAGAGCATTCTACACACCATGTGGTTGTCATAATTTAAATTTAGTCTTATATGATATAGCTAATTCATGTCCTAGAGCTATTTCTTTTTTTAGAGTGTTGCAACGTATATACTCATTGTTTGCTTCCTCTACTAAACGATGGAAAATTTTAGAGGATAATGGATGCAAGTTATCTATTAAATCTTTATCTCAAACTAGATGGGAAAGTCGGATTGAAAGTGTTAAAGCAATAAAATTTCAAGCTCTAAATATAAGAGATGCTTTGATTCAATTAGCAGAAATTAGTGAAGATCCAACGATAAAAAGTGAAGTTAATAGCTTAGCAACTTATGAGATTAAAAATTTTGAATTCTTATTAGCTATGAATATTTGGTATGACATATTGTTTGATGTTAATTCAGTTAGTAAAATCTTACAATCTAAAAATATGCATATTGATATTGTCATAGATCAATTAAAGGATCTTATTGTATATTTAGAAATTTATAGACAAAATGGTTTTATGTCTGTTTTGAATTAAACTAAAGAACTTGCTAATGAAATGAACATACAACCTATATTTCGTGAAAAACGTAAAATTCATAGAAATAAAGAACTTGCTAATGAAATGAACATACAACCTATATTTCGTGAAAAACGTAAAATTCATAGAAAAAAATAATTTGATGAAAATATTGGTAATGAGTGAAAAACGTAAAATTCATAGAAAAAAATAATTTGATGAAAATATTGGTAATGAAACAATATTTAACGCTGAAGAATCTTTTCGTATTGAATATTTTTTATACGTAGTTGATAAATCGCTTGACTCAATTAAAAGTAGGTTTGAACAATTTAAAACGTATGAATTTTTTTGGTTTTTTGTTTGATTTGAAAAAAAATAAAAGCTTTGGATGATATTGAATTGAAAGAATACTGTCTTAATCTCGAAAATGCACTAAAACATGATGAATATTTAAATATTAATGGACTTGATTTGTTTTCAGAATTGAGAGTGCTTAGGTAAATTTTAAAAGTAGAGATTAGTAGTCCAATTGAAGTGTTGAACTATATAAAGTGGTTAGATTCTTTTTTAAATACCTGTATTGCTTATCGTGTATTATTGACTATACCCATAACAGTTGCTTCCGCTAAAAAAAGTTTTTCAAAATTAAAATTACTAAAACCTTATTTAAGATCGACCATATTACAAGATAGATTGAATGGTTTAGCAATATTATCTATCAAAAATAATATGTTAGAAAATATTAAATATAAAACTTTAATTAGTAATTTTGTAGTTCAAAAGGTAAGAAGAATGAGATAAAATCTATTATGAGTTAAATCACTTAAGCATCATCTAATATTTCGCCTTGGGCCCCAAAATTCCTAGGTACGACCCTGGTGATTTTAAAAATAGAGAGGCTAATATGAAATCACCGAAGATTTACTAATTTAAGGGGCTTTTAGATATTAGTCCCCCACATCTTTCATATGTTTAACATAGTCCTCTAAATCTTTCACAATTTGCTTAGTCTTAGTCCCCTAAATACTTAGGTATTTTGAAGTTAGTCCCTCACATCGTCATATTTTGAAATTATTCTCCTAATCTTTAAGTGTTTTAATCATAGTACCTCCACTTACCACCTGTTATGGTGTTCACTCCCCCAAGAGATGGATATTGACAAAATGATACGATAAGAGTCCTAACAAAACAAACCATTGGTACCTCATCAGGAATAAACCTAAGACATAACCCTTTGGCCGACTCCCACAGTCGTCTATCGGCCTTAGGGGAAGGAGTGCCCTAGTTAACTCTCAAGAGTTCTAGGCATTCGACTCCTCAGTCAAATTTCAAATCCTTGTCTCTTTATCAAGGTAAGCCTAAGGCACAACATATGGTCAAATCCTCCACTGCAACTCGACCATCATGGCTAATTACAAGACCTTGATACCTTATCAGGGATAAACCCAAGGCACAACCACAGAGGCCTCGGTCCCACCAATTCATCCAACTGACACTCTAGTGTCGACACCAGAGGTGATACTAGTATGCATGAGAGATTCTGACCTCCCAGACGAGTCGACATCTTTATATCGACTCAAGAGACGGTTACAAGCTAAGATGAGATGATATTCCAACCAGTCGGATAGGCCGACACTCCTGAGTCAATGCGAAAGGTGGTGTCAGTCGACCCTATCATCGAGAACGATCCTACCTAGGGTACTCGACCACTCACTAGGCATTTCTCATAAACGACTTAAGGGACATTCCATGCTATCGACTAAGTTGAGGACTCAACCCCGGTCTCAAGCTTCTCGCCTAGAGCATATGTCGACATCTCAGTCCACCTCGGACAAGCCTTATCCAGATTTTGGTATGATAAGTCTCCATGACTTGTCAGCTCAGTCACCTTTCGGATATTGCAGAGACGTCATCTCCCATACTAAAGTGACTTCCCCTCTAGTCGCCAGCCAACATCTATAAAGCGAGGGACGATTCAGTATGCCCACATGCCTTCTGCCACACTATCAATTACTTTCCAAAAAATACAGAGACATCCTCTCCAGAGCTGAAGTGACTTCCCCTTCAGTCGCCAGTCGATATCTGTCAAGCAAGGGGCAATCCTGTTATCAGCTCCCCTCACCATTTCATATAGAGGTAATTCTAACTCACGGGAAGAGAGAGAGAGAACTCTTGAGACATAGAAAGAAAAAACTCCTCTAAACTCCTTCCATGAAAAAAGAACTCACACAGTTCTTCATCAAACATAGAGGAGTTCACGTAGATCCTCTAGGCATGCACATTGCTACCTTAAGAACCAGATCGGTTTATGACCTTCCCCTTCCCTACTCACGTTTCGCTAACTTGACCGTCGGAGGAACCACGGGGGAACCGGTCCCCGCCCTCTCATGGTTTCTCCTTATTTGTGTAGCTTGGAGATCAAGCCCTCGTTCAAGAACCATGCATAAAGTCGAAGAAGGGAGCGGGCCCTCCATCATTCTTCATCACCCCACAACCATCCTATTCTGGATTAATCGGCTGTTTGATATCGTTCATCAACAATTTGGCACCCACCATGGGGCCCTTCTTCTTTTTTGAGAAGACATGCTAAGTTCTGATCAAGAGTCTGATCCCACTCACCCTGAAGAACAACATCGGAGTTGCATCATCCAAGCTAAATATAGTCAGAAGTTGTTTAATTCAAGCTAAGGAGGGTTAGCTTTG